TAATGGGGGTGATCATGTGACCTCGCGGGATAGAATGGGGGTGATCATGATAAAAGACTCCCCGGTGCTGAGGTGGGTTTTGGTTTGAGGGCAAAGTTCAAACGGGAGGTGTCGGGGGGTGTCCCATGGGAGCTGCGCTAAGTGGCTGTACTAATGAGGTGCGCTGCTCGTCAGAAGCGTGAAATCGTTCAATCAGTTCCTTGTTGCGTCTGTCCAGCTGGGGGGTGGGGAGGGAGGGAGGGGCGAGGTCATTAAAGACTGCTGACATAAAACAGAGGTAGACGTTTGGTGATATCACCGGGCCGAATGTTGGCATTGAAGTGGCCAACCATGGCCAGATAGGCCTCCCACCGCGGCCATCTCAGCTAATTATCAGCGCGGTGTATGGTCCGGCCTAAGACGGACTTGAAAGGGATTAAGTGCAGGGAATACGTGGGCCGTAGCCAGCCGGACCTGCATTCATTACATGTTTGTGGCACCTGCAGATTGATGACTACACGGGGGGGGGGGGGGGGTCTGTAATGGTGTGGTGGTGGGGGGGGGGGGTAACGTTGTGGTGGGGGGGGGGGGGTAATGTTGTGGTGGGGTGTAGAATATATCATAGAAGATAATATTTATAGTCGTAGCCCAAAAACGTCACTATATAGTGGTAGCCATATAGAGGAAGCCAGATAATGGTAGCCCTATAGTGGTAGGCATATAGTTGTAGCAATATAGTTAGCCCGATGTACAGCCGTCATCATTATTTATGTGCTATCATTCCATCGGATGTAAAGGGCTAATTTATTTCTGACGAATATGAAACAATTAATAACTGTTTATTATTTTTAAATATAACTTGATTTTTTTCCCTGCCATAAAATGTTATCATTGATTCAAAACTAAAACTTTGATTTCTTTAACCTTGTCTGTATGTATGTAGTCAACTTAGTATAAGGCTCTAGAAATCTGTAGTGGTTGCTTTAAGGGCCCCGTTCACAACAGCAACGTTAGGTTCATGGTTAAGATTTTAATCAACCTCTATCACATATTGGCCCGCCATTACAGGACAACACCTAACCCCTAACCCCTGACCCCCTGACCTCCACTATCCCAGACCACACACACCTGCAGACTTGTTCAATTAAATCTTTAGCTAATCAATCTATAATCGCCTACTAATTAGCTACTCCCAGCCACCCCCCACCCCCACGCTTATCTCAGACACACCACGTGACATTCATATCTGGTCTCATCGTTACAACCCCATGGCTCATGTAGGGCGCCCTCAGCACCCCATAACTCCTGTAGGGCGCCCTCAGCACCCCATAACTCATGTAGGGCGCCCTCAGCACCCCATGGCTCATGTACGGCGCCCTCAGATAGCACCCTACGGCTCCCGTACAAGCGGCCCCACATAGCACCGTACGGCTCCAGTACATGCGGCCCCACATAGCACCGTACGGCTCCAGTACATGCGGCCCCACATAGCACCGTACGGCTCCAGTACATGCGGGCCCACATAGCACCGTACGGCTCCAGTACATGCGGCCCCACATAGCACCGTACGGCTCCAGTACATGCGGCCCCACATAGCACCGTACGGCTCCAGTACATGCGGCCCCACATAGCACCGTACGGCTCCAGTACATGCGGCCCCACATAGCACCGTACGGCTCCAGTACATGCGGCCCCACATAGCACCGTACGGCTCCAGTACATGCGGCCCCACATAGCACCGTACGGCTCCAGTACATTGAGCCCTTATCTGCGAGAATTATCCAACGTTTAGCTCCAACAGCTCGGTCAGGCTTGTATTAATTCCAGACACGGCCAGTCACGTGACACTGGTCAACTTGGACGTTGTTTATGGCCGGTGGTTGATGGCTGCAACTGTCCAGTCACGTGATTTGTGAGGGGTGGGCGAGCGAGAAGAAATGGTTGTGTATTGAATTGATAACATTGTTATATATTAGTATACATATGTATATATGTATATTACTTTTTATACATATGTATATATATATATATATATATATATATATATATATATATATATATATATATATATATATATATATATCACATTACCCTGTATTAATTACCTCCTGGGTAATTACCCCCCATCCCCTAACGGTTAACTATAGATAGATATATGTATTCCAAAGAGATAGAACTATATATATATATATATATATATATATATATATATATATATATATTTATTTATTTATTTATTTATATATATATATATATATAATGTTTTGCTACCAAGGTGCTTTACTTATTTAAGAGAAATTTATTTAAAGTACTTATGAAAATGTTGGTCAACGCTCGCTTGTGAAGGAGTGGAAGCGAATGTCTTAAACGTGGTGTCGGGTACATCATTTGATCAGATATATGTTCTAGAGTAGGTTATACACCTACGTCATCAGTGATATTTGCTCTGTTGTTCAAAATAACCTGAACTAGATTTTACATTTTATTTATTCTTATTTTAACATAGATAAGAGTTCTTTGTGTTCGTGGAATTTAAAAAAATGAAACACAATGTTGATGTTAAACAGGAAAATTAGCAGCAGGTGTAGACAGGAATGGCAAACCTTCGCGGCTATGGAACCAGGATTTCTGGATGTCAAGCGAACAAAGTTAAAAAATGATGTTGTCGTTGGATTTCCGCCTGATCACGCACCTACCAATTGGGCTTATAAGTCTCGCTCTCTCTCGCTGAAAGTTGTAAATCACGTTGTTTGCCAGGGAGAAATATACATTTTTCGAACTACATTAATTGTTGTGAACATGATTACCACTAACAAAAAACAAAAAACAAAACATGCAGGCTATTTATTTCTATGCCTCGTTTTAAGGGTTTTAAAATACCATAAGAACCCCAAAAAATTAGATTATTTTACTAATAATAGAATAAATTGAATCATATTAAGTTCCGGTAGGTCTAGGCTCCCAATAATGTTATACTAATATTGTTAACTACGTTTAGGAGAACTTGTTACGAATTCGAATAAATGTCAAACTTTTTTAAAAATCCCAACTTAACGAAGGCTAAATTTTTTTATTAAGCTAGTCCACATCTTGTAATTTATCATTATCACTGTTTAAGATTTTAAATAATAATAGCGGAAGTAAATTTTCTATTTGTTACCAATTGAATAAAAATATCCCCCTTTGGTTTGACCAGCGCTAGCTGGCAAGTAGGATAACAAGATGTGGGTGACCTACTTACAAGCTTTAGTCCAGTAGACTGTCCATGATCGGACTGTTCATGTCCTACTAATGCCGTGTGACATTGTGTCATCTATCGTTGGATGCCATTATGTCATCTATCTTTAAGTGACATTGTGTCATCTTTAGTTATGTGACATTATGTCATCTATCACAAGGTGACATTGTGTCATCTATCACAAGGTGACATTGTGTCATCTATCACAAGGTGACATTGTGTCATCTATCACAAGGTGACATTGTGTCATCTATCACAAGGTGACATTGTGTCATCTATCACAAGGTGACATTGTGTCATCTATCACATGGTGACATTGTGTCATCAATCACTAGGTGACATTGTGTCATCTATCACATGGTGACATTGTGTCATCTATAACAAGGTGACATTGTGTCATCTATCACAAGGTGACATTGTGTTATCTATCACAAGGTGACATTGTGTCATCTATCACAAGGTGACATTGTGTCACCTCAGACAGGACCTAACCACACTGCCACCACACTGTCACCACACCCACACTCCAGCCTCACGAATATCCGCCACTGCACATTCACCCCCCCCCCCCCCCCACTGCACATTCCCCCTGTCAGTGAGTGATGTCCCACAAGCCGGCCCGGCTGCCGGCCTCGCCTCACAAGCCGGCCCGGCTGCCGGCAGAGAGGCGACCATTTGTATTTCCTCGAACACACACATACAACAACATGCGCCTCCCCCGTGCCGGCTAGATTTCCGGTGTCACTCAAACAGTTTTCCCGTTTCATTTGGCCGTCTGATGCGCTGAACATTGGAGCTATCAGGACGGTTAATTCATTTTGCACAAGAGTATTAAAAGGTCAACCGCGGAAAGCATTGATTGGGGGAAAAATAATGAGCGTGTTGCGGGAGAAAGAAAGTTGGGTGTAAAGTTGGAAGGACGACTTTGTGTAAAGTTGGAAGGACGACTTTGTGTAAAGTTGGAAGGACGACTTTCTCTTTGTGTGCGCCTCGACTAGCATGTACTCAATACAACATGACATCGTGACTGTATTGCAGTTAGAAATATGGAAGGGGGGGGGGGGTAGTGTACACAACTCACAACTTAGGTGGGCTATCAAGGGAAAAAACCTTCACCGACACAGCAAAAGATAATTTTATGAGCCAACAGAAATTCTTGCATTAAGGAAGGTAGGGTCGACGCCATGTAACGTCACTCAGGTTTTGGGTACTGCTCCCCCCCCCCACAACACACACTGTGGTGGGGGAGGGGAAGGCAGCCGTACCCCAATAACTGAAATAGAGCCCAGCCGTACCCCGTCACCCTGATGGGGAGGAGGGGGGCGCCTCGATGGGGATGGGGCGTCACCCTGATAGCCTCTAATGATCCAGCCGTTCTGAGGATGCGTGGACAAAACTGTGCCACAAATTAGCGTCGGCCATTTTTTTTCTAACATCACTAACAAGATTATTTGTCGCGGCGGACATTTGATCGTCTTCCCGGAAATTGCGCAGTCGCGAGTCTCAGGGTGGGGCGCCACCTGGGGTTGTCTAAACCATCACCACTAGTGGCGGGCCTTGCTTTGTTTTGTCTTTGTCTTCGTGTGCTGACTGTGAACTTTGGTTCTAAATGGAAAGTTGTGTAACATCAGCTGCCCCCCCCCCACTTCACCTCACCCATGTATGATATGTGAAGGTGTGATATCACAAAAAAAAAAAACAACTATCACTTGGCTATCTTGGAGCACTGGAGCAAATACAAAACAAGCGCGATAATCACATAGTTGAAACTTGAAATTTATTATGTGTAAAGTTTTATACAGACAGCGTGATATATATTTATACATTTAGCCATGTTACAAGTAGTTGTACAAATATACACAAACTGATGTGACAAGATCCTAAGGTAAGAAAAGCAAGACGACAAATGTGTTCAATGCTTGGTCTGCTTCTCGTCTTTAGAAATCTCACAAATAAATTTGGTGACAGAGTCGTCGTTCTGGCACGGCCTAGATGCCATCTGCCAGTTATAGGCTCGCCACAAGAACACGCACCGCCCCGTCTGATTGACCGGCGCCTCGCCTGCCCACCAGTCCAGGTAGGGGGGGTCGTCGACCTCGTGATGGTGCACCCACCGCTCCTTGTCGTAGACGGCGCCGATGAGCAGCCCGTCGATGTGCTTGTAGCGGACCATCATAAAGCTGACGATCACCTTCAGCTCCCCGGCGTTCTCGATCTCCGCAATATGGCCGCCCAACATGGCGCATGTCGCTGCCGCGGTGTTGCGGTCTTGGAAGTTATTTTTAGAAACGTAAAAGCTCAAAGATTTCTGCTGGAGGGGTGCGTCAAACAGCGAGGTGAGGGTCCTGGAGATCCTGGTGTTGATGCCGTGCTCAAAGTTCTCCACGACCGCCAGTCTGGTGCTGAGGTTCTCTATCGCCCTCTCCAGCTGCTGTCTGACGGCCTCTATCTGACGCTCCACGCTCGGCTCGCTTGTCTCCGCCTCTATCCCCACCCTGGCGCTCTGAGTGAACGGCTCGCCCGACTTGTCCTGTGCCATGACCTTACACCTGAAGGTCCCGAGGTCAGCCTCCAGGGGGAGCTTGTACCGGACGTTCAGAAAAGAGGCGCCATCTTGTTTCAGCTCCCCAAGAAGGTCAAGCTTTGGTAAAGTTTTCTGGGGGAACAAAATGTTTTGATTTTTGAGACCAAAATTGATTGGAATAGGTCAATTGTTGACATTTTGATCTCTCTATTTTGATCTCGTATTTTGATCTCGTATTTTGATGACTTCTCGATATGGAGTCACACATTTATGACGTCCACAAAATATTGGAATTTCACATACCCCATTTTACATCAAACCAACATGCCTCCTTTAGGTGGACTATAAAAATCTAATTGTTGCAACATATTAATGAAACGTTGATGTCGCAACATATAAGTAAAGCATTGATGTCAAATTCTACATGCTGTAGTTTTCACTGACCCATCCCTCCCCCAACCCATGTCAAACGCGTCCATAAAAGTCAATGTTTTGGGATAACCCCAGCCCAGCTAGCGTGGACGTCATAACATAATGACCACTGTAGACGTTACTAGGTGACTGCATGGATTTAAACAATAGTGATATGTTTTCCAGTGGACCATGGCGCTGTACCATTGTATGTCGTGAATATATCTATTTTAAATGATAGAACCAGGTCAAACAAGCACATACACATATAGATTGTTACTCACGTTTAAAGGATAAGATCCAACAAATCAACATACACATACAAAATGTTACGCTCAAATGACTAGATTTAACCAACAAGCACACATACACAATGTTACTCACATTTAAAGGACTAGATCAAACAACCATATACATACAAAATGTTACTCACGTTTAAAGGACTAGATCAAACAACCATATACATACAAAATGTTACTCACGTTTAAAGGACTAGATCAAACAACCATATACATACAAAATGTTACTCACGTTCAAAGGACGAAATCCAACCAGCCAACACACACACACACAAACAAAATGTTACTCACGTTTAAGGGAGTAGATCCAACACACACAAACAAAATGTTACTCACGTTTTAAGGACTAGATCCAACCAACCAACACACATACACACAAAATGTTACTCGCGTTTAAAGGACTAGATCCAACCAACCAACACACATACACACAACATGTTACTCGCGTTTAAAGGACTAGATCCAACCAACCAACACACATACACACAAAATGTTACTCACGTTTAAAGGACTAGATCCAACCAACCAACACACATACACACAAAATGTTACTCACGTTTAAAGGACTAGATCCAACCAACCAACACACATACACACAAAATGTTACTCACGTTTAAAGGACTAGATCCAACCAACCAACACACATACACACAAAATGTTACTCACGTTTAAAGGACTAGATCCAACCAACCAACACACATACACACAAAATGTTACTCACGTTTAAAGGACTTGATCCAACCAACCAACACACATACAAAAAGTTACTCACGTTTAAAGGACTAGTTCCAGCCAACACACATACACACAAAATGTTACTCACGTTCAAAGCACGAGGCCCCACCAATGCCAGCTGTTCCTTGCCCTTATTTGGACTCTTGTCCCGAATCCGAAAGATCCCGATAGCCATGACCTTGTCCACCCTGGTCCCGTTTTTAACGAAGGTGCAGTTGATGTCCAGAAACTCCGTGACGTTCGAGATTATTCGCTTGGGCTCATAGGTCAAGGTCAAGGTTCCTATATCGTCCAGCGGACTGCTTGGTTCCGTGACATCAGCGGCCAGTGGCGGTAAGTGTGGGGAGGTGCTGGTGTGGCATGTGGATGTGGTTGTTGTCGTCTTGGTGTTGTAGTAGACGGAGGAGGAGGATAGGGAGTCGGCTTGGACACATTGAAAGAAAGCGTGAGATTATAAAGTCCATTGCAAGATTAGCCAATACTAGATATACGGAATATCATGAGGAGGGGGGGGGGTATTCCTATAATGGCGTTTATTGATGCCATTAACACATAAACATCAGCCCAACAATTTAAAGACGTCTTAGATGTCTGATTATGTTACTATTTCAGTACTCATTCCCTCACAAAAGACTAGTCTGGTATTACCATAAAATGTCTTGTTTACCTAGACTCGAACTATGACCTACTGGTCGGTCACTGACCGTTAGACCACGTGATACAACTAGGCCCAACCTACCTCTAACAGAAGATGTGAGTAGAACGGTCAGAATCCCAGCCACTGCCCACAACATGCTGTCCATGGTGTCCTGCTCTACAGATAGGTCCCTGATGGCAATACTGACTGATGGCTGACTAGTCACTGACTGACCTAAGCTAACCACGGCTTGAGTAATCAGATCTTGCCATGACCTGACTTACTGATTCAAAATTTTTACGCTGACCGCACGGTGTAGGATGAGTTCGTGGTATATTTGGCGGAAATATTTGGTTTTGTTATATTTAGGCGGAAATATTTGGTTTTGTTATATTTAGGTGGAAATATTTGGTTTTGTTATATTTAGGTGGAAATATTTGGTTTTGTTATATTTAGGTGGAAATATTTGGTTTTGTTATATTTAGGTGGAAATATTTGGTTTTGTTATATTTAGGCGGAAATATTTGGTTTTGTTATATTACATTGGCGGAAATATTTGGTTTTGTTATATTTAGGTGGAAATATTTGGTTTTGTTATATTTAGGTGGAAATATTTGGTTTTGTTATATTTAGGTGGAAATATTTGGTTTTGTTATATTCAATAAGCGGAAATATTTGATTTTGTTATATACAGAGAATTTTTTTTCTTTTATGTAGGAAAAATATTTAGTTTGTTTGCTGTAGGCCTATTTGTTATATCTAGAGTAAAATAATAGCTTTTGTTTTCACTTTCATGATTGCAAAGTGGTAGATTTATTTTTTATTTATTAAAAAAAAAGAAATGGTGCCTTACAGTTTGCACTTGGAATGTTGTTAGGTTATTTTAGCATGTATCTATTAGCAAACAGAATCAATAGCAGGTTACATTTGACTTGAGCTGGGGTTTTGTACATTCTCTGATCTATTCAAAGAAAATATACCGTCGTGATTTGCATAACATAGTGTATAATAAAGTTTAAGAAGAATGTAAATTCGTTTTGACGAAGGATAAAATATAACGGTTACCTTTTACAAACACACACCGTTTTCGTGAGACTTGTGTCGCTTTTAAAATCTTAAACAGTCCAAGTGTTTGAAGTAGCTCTACTTGACATCTGTACTGCTACCATACTTGTCACCAGTCGATGGACAACGGGGTCACAGATTGTAAAAACTATCTAGGGTAAAGTAGACCTACATTTTGAGACATGTCGGTCAGATTTTTGTGTAAGCAGGGGTAGGTTGTAGTGATGATACAGGCCAGTTTTGGGCTAATAGCTCAACACTAAATGTGTTTGAAGGAACGTTCACGTCGCAGCTATAAATCTTATTTCGTCAATTTAAAACGTATAGCCTCAGATCTTCTATTTAAAACTTTACAATCAGATCTTCTATTTTAAACTTCCACAATTATATTTTACATTTAAAAAGATAATCCTTTCATCGTTTTAACGGTTAGGCTTTAAGGAGATACGCTCAATACAAAATCATCAAAATTCAGATATTTTTTTTCATGATGGGTTTCTTCCAATTTTGGATACTTTGTCCATTTTTTTAATTAGGAAAATAATAACTTTAATGAGAAAAACATTTTTTTAGCTGTTTAAATACCATTTTTTTTTACCTTATTAATAAAAAAATAATCATTTTCCCCAATCTTACAAGTTTTATATCCGTCATCATATTGGACTTGGCATCACTGTAAAGCTGGATTTCTCATGTATTTGTTAATCGTATTTTCCATCACCTCGGAAACACCCTAAGCTTACAATCGGCTTTACAAATTACACAGATATGGTATTTTCGTGACCTATTTTTTCGTTGGTTTTTACTGTTTTTATCAGTTCGCAGTTTTTTACAACTAAAAAGCCTACTGCTTTTTTAATTTATTCTACTTTTGTCTTGAGGGAATAGTGATAGCTTACATAGAAAAAAAATTATGATAAATAATATCCAAATTTTAAACTTTTGCATACTAAAAAGGATACAATTTTTCTGACCTTGTAAAATTCTGACCAGTAGCTCTTTAAAAAATTGTCGAGACAAAAGTTTTAAAAAATACTGAAATATAAGCCTTTAAAAAATGACTTCTATCAGTGCATAAATAAAAAAGCCTTAACGTTTTACAAGTACCGAAAAATTCAAAATGGCGGAGGTTTTTTTGGGTTTCCATGACATCCAAAAAGTGTTTTAACCCTATTTTTGCTGTTTAATACTTACTTTTATGTACCAAACACGGTAAAAGTATTCAAAAGGCTTCAGATCTTAAATTGTAAAAAAATAGAAATAAACTGAGCATGCTCCCTTAAAGATATTTTTTTGGTGAAAATTAGACTGATCAATTTATAATTATTTGTTTTGAATTATACAATTATTAGATCTATATTTCCTATATCATGATGAAAGTTTTTTTTTTATTGAATGAGGAAATTATTATCTTTTCCACTAAATAATAAAATTATAGTTTCTATTTAATGATACAATTATTTTTTAATATAAATGAAGTAATTATCTATTCAATGTAATGATTAAACTCTTATTTTCTATTGAATGATAAAACTCATGTTTCCAAATTGTATTTTATAAGTATCATTCCTCGTTTTGAATAATATAAAATCATCTTGCCTACTTGAATTATTTTGTATATTTCTCACGTTGAATTCTTCGACTTTTATTTTCTTCAGTTTTTTGTTTACTTTGATTTGTGTGGACAAAAACTTGTGAATATCAAATGTTTCTAAAACCTGTGAATATCAAATGTTTCTAAAACCTGTGAATATCAAATGTTTCTAAAACCTGTGAATATCAAATGTTTCTAAAACCTGTGAATATCGTGTTTTCGCTGAAATAAAAACTTAATGGCCATTTTTTTTCTGTCCATTTTTTACGCGAGGAAAACGAGCAAATGTTTTTGATTGCTTTATGCTTTAATTATCACAGAGACATCAGCCGGCAATTGCCGGTTTTGATTGGTTGTTGCCGGTCCTCAAAGGGTCACTGTGGTTGGTGGTCGACCGCTTTGTCAACAGTTGACCGATCACGGGGAGAGAGTGGACATTCGTTGCTGGCACTAAAGGTGAGAGTGGGAAGAAATCCTAGGAGTGGCGTGTACGAGTGGCGTGCTGGTAGGTGCAGACTAAAAAAAAAAGATCTTATAGCGAGGGTTGAAGGTTGTAGGATTTAAAATACACTAAAAAAATCTCTTGGTGGTTTGACTGTCGTGTTTGATTTGTTTTTTCTTTCCTTTAAGCGTGAGTGCTTCAGGTAAAAACGGGATTTGAACAAGCAGATGTAACGTGTGAGAAAACAACATTTGTCGCCTTAAAGATGTTTGTTAGCGGCGGTTTGTAACCTGAGGTGGATGTAGTTTTTGCTGGAATTAAAGACGGGCTTTAAAACATGAGCTTTGAACGACGTGGCAGAACTAGCAAGAGGCTGATCTTAGTTCAATCACTAGATTTTTTTTTTTTAAACTTCAGTAGATGTAAAAAAAAAAATGAAAATGTGGAGTCGTAAAGATTTATGAGAGCAGGGAGGGCGCCCACATGATATTAAACTAACACGCGCGCGCGGTCACATGCTCGTGGGGCGCTGTACTCACGCGATATACGGGTAGGTGACAATAGATGGCGCTACGATCTGCGCACCCTCCCCCTCCCCCCTGCCACAAACTCACCAAAATTTGATGTGAGGTTAAAAAAAAACGTTCACTCACGCGCCCACTTAAAGTTTGCGTGAGAAATAATGGAGGCGACGGGAGGGTTACACAAAAATGAAAATAAACTCTAATTGTGAAAATTAATGCAATTAATTTAGCCAGACAATGCGTGGGTCGACGCCCGATTTGACATTGACGAAGCGAGTGTGGAGAATGTTGATTCGGTATGAATTTACAATTTACAATTGTGTAGTATTGATTCGCTTGAAAAGACTGCACTCAAATTTTAATATGGTTTTTTTTCATCCCCATTGAAGCGGGCCACACGATGGGGGAGGTAATCTAGACAGAACGCTACAACACGATGAGGTGTGAGTGGGTGACGTCCCTTGGCGAACACGTGGCTAACCGCCATTGGAGATAATTTGTCATACGTCTGCTAAAGAAACCGAGAGCTCGGGTCTTTGTTCGCTCACCCCCAACCCTGGGCTCGTGACGTCATTCCAATTGTCTGACAGCAGACGACCACTTTGGTGAGGTGAAACATCTTTGATTACAATTCAAGATTTCCTTGGACTTGATGTTTTTCTTTAATCGTTTTTTAGTGTGATCAAATATGAGAGCGTATGTTAACATAGATGTGTGCGTTGTTGTATGTGTGTGTGTGTTAGACAGGAGTGTGTGTGGCAGTTTATGTAAATGTGTGTATATGTGATTACCACATTAGTTAGCCCATAACATGCAACAAATGTTACATCCCAAACATGTTGTGGAAAAGATACAATTTGTACAACTTCGGAAGACAAAAGACACAATACAGACAGATGACAAGCCCCCTCCCCCATCCCCACCCCACCCAACGAAATGGAATTTATATAGAAAATATATTTTAATAGTGTTCGTCTCCGTCTCCGTCTCCGTCCCCCCCCCCCCCCCAACAGAAATTTTTTGTCCGCACCCCCGAAAATTTCAAGTGACCCCCCTCAAGAAATAAGTCTGGAAGAAACACTGAGACAAGACACAATGTAGACAGATGATAAGACACAATACAGAATGTCTCAACATCTATGTAATCTGTCGATATCACCCACCTTAAAATCCTAATGATTTCTTTATTTCCCCACATCACCTGCCCGCGTCATTTAAAAAAAAATGTTTCTCCCAGCAAGTGAAATGTTTGGCTAACCCAAACCCTAAAGCCTCGAGTTACATCGATATTATAGGACAGTCGAGATGACGGTTAACGATGTCGCAAATCATCGCGAGAAATCGATGATGGGCAGATGACAATGAGGGTGATAAGCACTGTCCCCGGGGTGGGTAGGACCCTGAAGGGACTGGGGTACACTGGACACGGGTCAGCTTCAGCCATCAATGACCAGGCTTGTGCAACCAGTGGATGTGACTTTAGGCGGCGATCATATCTTAGGCCTGGGGGAAATTGGACTCAGCTAGACGGACACTGGTCAGTTAACGTACACGGACACTGGTCAGTTAACGTACACGGACAATGGTCAGTTAACATACACGGACACTGGTCAGTTAACATACACGGACGCTGGTCAGTTAACGTACAC